TTCAAGTAGAAAAGGGGCTAAAATGAGGTTTAAAAGGCAGACTGAGACCAGATGTTTCAGTGTCTTGTAAACCATACTAAGGTGTTTGCGAACAATCCTAAACACAATGAGAAAGGTTTTCAGCAAAGGGATTACCATGATGAGATTTGCTTTGGGGGATTGCCTTGGTTAAGTGGCTGTTGAGGTAATTCAAATGGCAGGTGATGCTGGCCGTATGCAGGGTAGTGGCAGTGAAACAGAGAGAAACCAGGGGACAGGGAGTGGAGGTGTTACACCGAACCAAGTGGGCTCGCTTCCTGGTGAGTAAAATAAGACTCTACACCAGTGGAAGTTGTCTCACAAAGTAAAGTGTATTTGCAGCAAATAGGAGGCCACGAGGAATCATTTCCAGAGTCATAGCGTCCCCGAACAAAGGGAAGCAGGAACTTTTATTTCGGTTGGGGAATGAATATTCAAAAGGGAGTGGTGGGTATTCGCTTGCACAGGCTCAGTTGAAGAACATGCTTTCACATAATGAGGCCTAAGCTCCTCCTGGAGAGATCTTTGCATTAAAAATAAGGCAAAGGTCACCGGCATAGCTCTTGTGGTGTGGCTTCATCAGTTTCAGGATGGTTGGTGGTTACATCTCCTTAACATACAAAAGGAAAAGAAACAACTTGGAAAAACAGTTAATTGCTTCCAAACCCGCCTTTGAGTTTCTAGAGGCACCTAGTCGGTGACAGAGGTGACTCTAATTGACTCTGTTTGGAAGAAGTTTACCTTGAGGTGCCCATGGCACAGGGTTGAGTAGGCAGCAAGTTATCAAGGTCCAAAACTCAGAAGAAAGACCTGAGTTGGAAATAATTTGGGGAAGTTCCTTTGTATTATTTTCAGTCCTGAACCAAAAGACAGCATAAAAGCTTTTATTTCATTAGGTTCTAAGCAAACACGTTAGTTAGAGCTACAAAGCTTAATTGACTGATGGTCCCTGTACATGAGAGTAAATAAGATTTGGCTCCAGATAGCAATTACTACCATCACCTCTTTCATCTCATGAGACCCATAATTGTAAATATCAATCTAGACCAGCCTTAGCCAAAAAGAAAGTTCACTCATCCCTTGTGGAAGAAAACTTATTTTCCCTTTGTCTTTGTTGCAGGTGTGTGTGTTGTATGGCTTGCCAAGCCTCCTCATCAACTACATTTGTAAGCAACAGGCGTGATCCTATCTGTGCTGTTTGTAGCAAAAGTATTCCCAACCTTGAAAAGCATATTAATGTTTAATGAGCTAAAATAGACTCTGCTGTAGCCAAGGCCTTCATCTCCGCCCTTTACTTAAGAGTGTAACACCACAAAGGATACAGTAGGATTTGGCTTCCCTGATGAATTTCACACTATTTTAGGAGGCCAATTTAAAACCTCCCTTGTACTGCTCACACGCTATTTGGATACAACTTATCTTTCCTCCACAGAGGGAATAAACATGCATTCTGGAGTGTCATCTGTGGGTGATATATGACTGCTTTAATGGTATTTTGTGGGTGTAGGCTGTGAGATACATGGCTTTATTTGATCATTCTCTCACTCCAGGTAATATTAGCCACTGACTGTTTTCTCCATTAAGACTGTGAATTTACAAGGCACAGTGTGTATTTAAGATCTGATTAAATAGGCTGAATTAATTAGGTATTTTCCAATTTACTTGAAGTTGCAATGTGGATATTTACAAAACGAATAGACAAAGGTCTGCAATTTACTTAACTTTTCAGGGAAACCAAGCTCCTAGACAAAATCGAACAAAAATGTTACCAAAGAGAGGCGAGTTAAAACCTTACTTATAAATGACAACAATTTGCCAGAACAACCAGTTCTTCTGGATTTTACATAGATATCCCTCAACTGTTGACAGTCTTCATTCATTTATCCTCTTCCTCTGTTCACTTGCTTAGTACCCATTAAACTGTTCCAGAACGTCTTATCATTCATCTTGAGTGACATCTGTAACTCAGTTCACTGCTGGAAGGATTAACTCATTCATATGACCTAAGATTCTGTCCAAATGGGAACAGTTATAAACAATATTTTAATTTTAGAGATTTTTGAAAAGGTATTGAGAAATTGAAATAATAATGTTTACTCTTTTCAGTTCTCATTCAACTACACTGAAAAGATATAAAGGGGCTGACATCTAGCATTTGTTTTTTTAATTCATGGCTTAAAAGAACTTTTTCTCATAAAAACAATTGAATTTTTTAATCTCATCATAATCACTTTATACTTTGCAATGATTGCAATTGATTAATAGACCAATTTTTCAGCCATTATGAGTGAGCACAGAAGGGAAAGAAATCACATAAATAAATCTACTGATAATCAAAACATTAATTTTAAAGAAATAAGTATCTTTTCTAATGCCTTCTATTAGCTGCTATAGTAAAATTGAGAGATTTAGGATTAAAACTTTTCCAGGGTCAGCCCCAGTGGCCTAGTAGTTAAGTTCGGTGCACTCCACTTTGGCAACCGGGGCCCAGTTCCCAGGCGCAGACCTACACCACTTGTCAGTCATTGGCCATGCTGTGGTGGCAGCTCACATACAAAAAGAGGAAGATTGGCAATGGATGTTAGCTCAGGGTAAATCTTCCTCAGCAAAAAAAAAAACAACCTCTTTTTTCCTTCTCTTTCTTTTTGCCAAAGGTTAATGTACTACCTATACAATAGGCAATATGATGATATTGTTTGCATCATTCACATAACTTGTATTATTTATTGCACTGTTACATGTGCCATGCCCCCCTACCTCCCTCTCCTTCTCTCCCTCTTGCTCTCTTTTTCTGTCTCACACACACGTATATAAAGCACGTGTCAGACACATAGTGAATGCTCTGTATATGGTAACTATTATCATTACTCTTTATTCCGAATAACAACTTGGATAAAAATTTTCAGAGTACTGCATAGAACTCCCTTTTTTATTCTCGTTATATTAAGCTATAACATAAAAACACTCGATCTCTAGTTGACCAAGTGAGTCTGAACATATACACACAGAACACATTTCATCTCTGATCTGTAGCCCATTTGATCTTTAACGGTCGTGTTCACTCGCATGATTTACTCTTTTCCACTTGTAGTGTGTATCTGTGAGGAGTAGGGAGATGGGAAGATGGGAGGTATCATTATTAAATAGGACGTCCCTCCTCGCTGTGTTTCACAGCTCTCTTCCATAACTCAGAAACCTAATTTGTATGATGATGTGGTTTGCTAGGAATGTGGAGAGACTTAGACCATTTGTTGGATGCAGATGATCAGGCCTCCGTGATAATTGTAAAAGCCTTTTGAAAGACGTACAGATGTGCTTAGTTTGGCCATCTCGTCAAAATAAGCATTTTCAGGGCTCTGTCTTCACCTTTGCCCCCTACTTAGGCATGAGAAATGTAAGGAATTTATTGGCTTGTATTTGAGGTCTGCCTTGACTGAGGTTAGTAGGATAATACATTCATCTGTACACATACACTGACATGCCCTCTCACCGTCCATGTTGAAAGGATGAGAAGGAGGTAAAGTATGCTGTAGTCAGATTTATCACCCTGTGAACCCCAGCACCCAAACAAAATTTCTGAGGCTGGTTTTGTATTATTCAAGAGTTCAGGGGACCTATATGCTTTTTATCATGCCCCCCATATGAAGAAACAGAGAAAACACAATTTTCCAGTTTTAATAAAGGTAATTTATTTGAGGCAGGAAAATAAAGAATTCTTACTCAACTTGAGCCATGCACAAAATGGTTTTCTTTTGATTGTGAGCCATGATTATAGGGTTTTGTTTGGTTTTGTGTGTTCGTTAATTTAATTAGATGCTCTAAAACATGACAGTCATCTCTTTAATGGCCTTGTGTTTTAAGGAACATTGATGTGAGTTGCATGTTCTTTTAGACTCAGTCCTTTTGAGTCTTGTAAAACCAGACACAAATGACTAAAATGTCTCAAGTCAAAGGGCCTTATTATGTGTATACACTCAATTAATTTATCTTTGTTAATGGTTGCTTATAAACTCAACTCACAGTGGGTAAGGTATGTACTCTGTATACTATTTCTATAACTTCTTGTGAGCCTATAAATGTTTCAAAAATTTTTTTAAGTAAGCTCACAAATTATCTTGCCATTTTCTTCATTAGTCAGCTAACTGCTGTACCTCAGACTTCTGGCAGCTGTTCACAAGGTAAACTGTTGGTCAGGGGTGGAATCAGGCAGCACGGTTAGTTTAATTCATCACCAATACTGGAGAAAAAGACAGGTCTCCAAAGTCAGTGTCCTACTTTAATGACCTAAGTCACATCATTTTCATATGTGTTTAAGACAATTGTAAACCCCTTGGTATGAGATTATTTCTCTAGTGGAACCTCAGTTGGTATAGGATATCCCCAAAACCCCACAGGTAACCTACACTCGTGCCCTACTACTCCTAAAGTCTTCAGGACTGGTCGTCATATGTATTCAGTCTAGTTATGCCAATAAGGTGCTAACTGTGTAGTGATTATAACAGTCCCAAATGCACTGGATTAAGCCCAAATCTGATGGACTAGAAGATGTCATAATGTAAATAGTCTCTAGAGTGAAGACGCAATAGGAGATGATAAAATGAGCAGTCAAAACAAACTTGTCCAATTTTAGCCTTCTGTGTTTTGTTTCATTTTGGTTCTATTTTTACCTGCTAAATTTCCAAAAAGTACCTTTAGAAGCTGTTTATAATCCTACATTCAGAGGACAAAGTAACTCTTATGCCTCAAGATGAGAATGTTCCACTAGGCAATTTATCATATATATTTTTTCAATAGAGACATTTTGACCTCAAACTATATAATAAATCTACAGATTAAAGAGATGTTATCTAACTAAAAGAAAGAAATACGATGATATAAGGAAGTCAATAAGATGAAGCCAAAGCTTCTTTGGAATTACATCAGCAGAGTCTGAGGTGGACAAAGAACAATCACAGAAATGGTTTCTGTTTCATTCTTAACAGAACCAGTCTTCTACTTTGGTGATGTCGAGTACTCTGTGGATGAGAGTGCCGGCTATGTGGAAGTGCGGGTATGGAGAACGGGCACTGACCTGTCCAGGTCTTCCAGTGTAACCGTGAGATCTCGGAAAACAGATCCTCCCTCTGCCGATGGTGAGCAGTTTCCTATATCAGCTCTTTTGATTGTTCTGCAATGTTCAACTTACCATGCACAAAATACTTTACAGCTAAAATACTTTATTCCTGTTAAAGCAAGCTGGTTGAATGGATTTTTTTCTGAAATTATTACTGTATAATAGATAAATCTAGGCTCTATTTACTTCTGAGAAAATACATTTAAGGACCATGAATCAGAGGCTAAGTTAAAAACACGTAAGTCAAAGACGCTAAATTCTAATGCTATATTTGCATGAATTGGTTCTCTAAACTTGGCAAATCTAACATCATTGAGTATTATGACATCATATGCACAACAAGAATAATCATACTGGCCACCCTCACAGAAATCTAATGACATTTAAGTATCACGTGAGTGTGCATCTCCAACGTGACTCCTTCCTCATTTTAACTGAGTGTCTTCATAGCTACTTCAGACCCAGAGACTCTTTCCACACTTCGTTACCCAAGCTGTCCTAGCTGTATAGGCCACATCCTGCCTCTGGAATCTACAGCTCCAACAAGTTGAGCATATAGTTTATGACAAGCATAGGATTAGAAATTTCTTTTTTTCTTCTTCTTCTAAATTACCAACAATACAAACTCTCTTTCTTTCTCATACACACACATGCGTGCACCCATCTACATCATACACACATCACACATTCATTACACAAAGCAAGCAGGGGCCGTACCACTTTAATAGTCACCCTTAGGTTTTAACTTTTTTAATGTAATAGAACCAGCATAATACTTTGCATGTAGTAGGTGTCCATTAAATATTTGTTTAGACAAATTAGTCATATTTTAAGAGAAAAGTCAAATCCAAGAGAGAAAGTGAGAGAGAGAGAGATGAGAATAAATGTGAAGAAGCAAGGAAAGAAAAGTACAAGAAGAACCACAAAGAAATTCAGGTAGAGATTTTAAAAAACAAAGACAGATACAGATAAACATAGTTGCATATTCAGAGGTAAAGTAGATGTAAAATGAGAGGTAGAAGAGCAGAAGTTATGAAAACAAAGAGAACCAGTGACATTGAACTATTCCCCACTCCCAGTCTATATGGATCTAGTGCCTAAAGATTAACAGACAGTTTTGTTTTTAACTACTTTAGACACAAATGGAGATGTCAACACTAGGTATGTGCCCCATGGTCTGTAAAATAATAAGCGAAAGACCAAATAGCTCTTTGAGAATAAAGGGTTGCCCTCTTTGCCTGGGGCAAGTGTGGGTGGAGCTTGTGGGACAAAAACTTGTATCTGAAATGTGTTACTTTAACTAGGTGTGCTTTAAACACACCTAAATAGGATGTTCCGCAGTAGCTCCAAAAAATATAGAAAAAATATAGATATTTAACTGTAAAAATATAGATATTTAACTAAT